CAGGAAAACCTTCAGGTTCAGGTTCACTGTCCAGCCAGTTTATCCGAACCACCAGGCTATAGGCTCAGGGAGAAGCCCGATTTCAAGAACTTAGAGATCACGCCTACACATAATTTAAAAGGCACCTTTTAAAATTTTTAAACAAAAGAATGAAGAGAGGGGAGGAAGAGGTAAAGGAGAGAAAGAAGAAGAAGGGGAGGGAGGGAGGGAGGGAGGGAGGGAGGGAGGAAGGGAGAGAGGGAGGGAGGGAGGGAGGGAGAGAGGCAGTCAGAGCCCCTCTTCCTGCTGGAAAAGAGTGGGTAATGAAGTCAGTCCGACCCTTCTAGGAGAGGCACTGGCGAACACTGAAGGACAGACCTGGGCCTGCCCCAGTGCCCTTGCTGTGCGTGCCTTGGTGTCCTTCCTCTGTCCTCAGCGAAGAAAGTGCTCCAGCCACACATGCAGGGCCAGTCACAAGAATACAGGGCTGTGCCTGGGCAAACAACACAGGAAATCTGTGCAGAGTGACCCTGATCTGCTGACCCCTTTCCGGACTCAGAGAAGAAGTTCTGTAGTTGTGTGAACTCGGCTCTTAGAGTGTGAGCCCAGGCTCATCTGGTCCCCATCTTTTCCTCGATCTCCCACATTAGCGGCTGTCTTTTCTTTAATGAATACATTTTAAATCCCCAGGTGTTTTAAATTTTTATCTTGTTCACTTGCTTACACGAGGAAATTCAAGCAGACCAGTGCGTTAATAGAAACCCAGTGGAAGCGAGGGCAGATTCTCTCCCATGGTGGGGAGGTGCTGGGAGGTGCTCTGAGGTGTTCGGCTTGACTTGGGCACCGAGGCATTGGCTGCAGTTCCTCACCTAGCCACTAGGGGCAGGGCAGAGCCATGTGCGCTGCCGTCCTTTAAGTTCTCTTAAGTACTTTTCCCAGTGACTGGGAACAGGTTCAGTGTGGCTGCCTCTGAGCTGGATCCCAAATGCATGACAAGGACCCAGGACTTCTGAGTACTCCTGAGGAATCCATCCCCTCCACCAGGCTGGAAAAGGAAAGGGAGTCAGGACCTGCAGAGGTGGAAGACATAGGAGTCCCAGCACCCTCCCAAGCTCAGTGAGTTCCTTCTGGGTGTCCTGATCTCTGTGGCAACCACCTGATACAGGGGTCGCTCCATGTGAGGCTTTAGACCCCAAGTGAGTCCCACCAGCAGACCCTGACCTTCCTTCTTTGGTGGGGTTGAAGCCTGTGTGGGCCGCGGACCTGTAGAACCTAGACGTGGACGATCCCCTTCCACGACACTGTCCAATGGCAGCTGTGAGGACACAGCGTGAGCTGTGAATGCTGCCAGACTACGGCGCCCCGTGTCTCAGGGGATGGAGAGGATGCAGGGGGATTTCCATGGAAAGCCTGGAAGAAGAGACTAAATATTCTTTGACCAGGAAGGCTTCTGTCCCGTCTGTGCAGCTACGGGGATTGCACGATCGCTGTTACAGGGTCAGTCTGCTCATCTCAACGGTGGCTGCTATTCATGGGCTCCCCTCTCTGGCAGGCAGTCTCAGAAACCACTTCCCGGAAAGGTGTCTGAACACGTCTGAACAGGCAGTGTCCATGGTAACTAGCATCCCTTGACTCAGTTTCCCTGGTTTTATAGTACTCGGTGAACAGAAACCTCCCTCTCCACCCTGACCCTCAGTCTGTCTTTCATGCCATGGTTGTATCCCCCAGCGCTCGCCCAGTGAACTCCCTGGGGACTGAGGATGGGAGCAGGTGCCGGGGGTGGGGGTTCGGGGAGTGAGTGGTAGTCTTTGCTGCCTTACAGGTGTGTGACTTAGTCGGGGTACAGTCCCACGATTCTGTCCTCTGAACCCAAAATAGTTAACTGTGAGCTGCAAGGAAACTTGCAAGGAAACTATGAACTGCTGCTGCTGCTGCCACTGCTGCCACTGCTGCTGCTGCTGCTGCTACTGCTGCACTGGTCGGTGAGAAGTTTCCAAGTCTCCAAAACAAAAGCGATCAAGGAAACCATCTGCGCAGCGTGGAAGGAAAGACAGTTGGCTTTCTTTATTTTTAATTGGCAATCGCCTCCAGCTTATCCCTAAACAGACCCTTCGTTTCTTATCTTTTTGGAAAATTCTAAAATGGGCAGGCCAAGAAAAAACCCAGAATGCGAAACTTTCAGAATACTCACAAGCAATGACTAAGGCACACTCGTACTCTGTGTTCTCTCTCTCTCTCTCTCTCTCTCTCTCTCTCTCTCTCTCTCTCTCTCCTGGGAAAAGAGTGCTCTGGCAGGAGGGGCAGAGTAGAAAAAGAAACCTTAGCTAACAGGAAAATAAAGAAGATGGCTGCCCTGCGGATTATTCCTAAGCCTGGCTTTGAAGGAGTGAACCCTTCCTCGGTCCGGGCCCAGGTTATCTCCTGTAATTGCATTATTCTGAGATTTACCAAGATAAAATGGCCCAGCTTAGTGGCAGTAATAGGTGGCAGGTGTGACTGTGAGCACACAGCCGCTTTCGACTCTCTGGCTCGTCCCAGCTGGGGAGGGGTGTGGGGGCTTCCTCTGCTTGCCACTGTCCAGGGAAGGGAACAATTATCAGTGCTTTTCCCAGCCTGGTTTGAGGGACACAGTGGTCTGTTCTCATCCCCTCGAGAGTTTGACACCAGGGTGACCTTCCTCATGCATTCCCTGCATCCTGATTATACCACCTGCTTCAAAGAAGAAGTTCCCAGTATCCTTGAAGGGCCATACTGAACCTGTGTTGTATTTTTATTCTTGTAGCCCAGGCTTGCCTCAGACTCATTGTGTAGCCAAGGGTGACCTCGAACTTCTGATCCTTTTGCCACTACCTTCAGAATGCTGGGATGACTGGTATACTCTATCATGCTTTTCTTTTTGTGGGCTGGGGGATCGAACCCCAGGCTTAGTGTGTGGTAAGCAAACACTCTAGCTACTGGTCTATAACCCCGATGTCCCAGGACACCAGCTTCTACTGAGTCAGTTAAGGAGGGACTGGTATTTATCTGTGGCTGGTGACCATTGAGACAAAAAGAGCAGATTGCAGCTGTAAGAGCCGACATCCTGTGCAGAGGTAAAGAGTGGGAAAGCAGTCTGTCTTGAGTTGTTCTCAGCATAACTGTAGACTTCCTTATTAATCACCACCACCACCACCATCGTCATCACCACCATCACCGTCATCACTGCCATCACCATCATCACCATCACCACGACCGTCATCATCACCACCACCACTGTCGTCATCACCACTATCACCATCACCATCACCATCACCATCACCATCATCATCACTATCATCTCCACCACCACCACCCCTACCATCATCACCATCACCATCATCATCACCATCAGCACCACCACCACCA